CAGCCACTCCTGGTCCTTTCATCAGACGGGAAGCGAAAGAACGAGCAAGACCCATTGCTGGTATGATAACAACCTGGTACTAAGCACACAGGCATCTTGTTATCTTATCTTAGCCAGCGTCATATAGATAGATTATATCTCAGGGTTGCCAACTTTGGGTACCTGGCTGGAGTGAGATTTTGATATCATGGGTTTAATTACACATATGCACACAAAATGACNAGCAGTTACTAAAATAATATCCAGGGGATGCATGCAGAGCTGTGATTGGCTGAGATAAGTCCGGCCGTGCGTCACGCCTCCACCGTTCCCGGAAATGCATCCGTGGAGGAGCCGTGGAGGACCCATCAGTGTCTCCTCGGTTAGAGCTCCTCCAGAGAGCCTCCTCGACGCTCGGTCCTCGATGTGCATTTAGAGAAATGAGATGTCCTTCAAAATGGTGCGCTGAAATTCATGTCCGGGTCACTACCGGAAGACCGAGGAGTCGAGGAGGGGAAATTAGAGTATTGAGAAACCTCTAGAGACTCACACACAGACTCACACACACACAGACAGACAGACAGACAGACAGACAGACGAGCCCTTTGATGTGTCAGACTGATCTTGAGTAATAATGATAAAACCCCTTAAATATGTGGTAAAAAAATTGAGTTTTATGGCGAATTTCCACTACAGCGCGGTTTAAGCGTGCCCGGCCCGTTTCCACTTGGCGTAGTTCCTCCTAGCGGGTACTTTTTCACAGTTTTTCTGGCCCCATAAAATCGAGGTTCCTAGCGGGCCAACAACCAGGCTGAGTCGGGCTGAGTATGCTAAACTAGAGAGAGAATCGCTGACAAGGAGGCAATAACTACAACAAGATGAACATATTTGACCGTGATTTAATTGTAATACACATTTCAAAATGATGCCGAAGTAACAACATACTGATACCGGTTAGTAAAAACCATGAATTAATGCTTTGACAAGTCTGCAGACAGACGGCAGGTGAAACACCTTTTAAAATGCGTGTTTTCTGAATGGAGATCAGCTAAGCTAACGCAGTATATGCTCCGACCGTCCACACTCACAACAACGGCCGATACAGACATAAATAAACCAGCGACTGTATTCTCCCTGACACAGACAGTCTGTGGTTTGTACTTGTTTAACTGTTGTCTAGTTTCTGAACAGATATGAGGAGCTGTGAGCTCTGAGGGCTAACAGCTAACGGGTGATGTTGTTTTTCTGGGGTTCTCATTGAAGATGACGTCACGGCTCCGCCTACACTGCGTTACTATAGTTACTGCCCCAGCTACTAAACTGTAATGGAAACGCAGCATAAAGTGAGCCAGTCCTAACGAGGCCTAACGAGGCCTAGCCATACCGTACTAAGCAGAGCGAGGCCCTGCAGTGGAAAAGCGCCATTAGACTCACAAGACCGCTGGCTAATTAGCTCTGATGCTAAAAACAAGCCTGATTTTGTTAGCATTCAATGGCTCAAGGTTATATGCAATATCAGATCGAATGAAGAGGCAAACTTAAAACCATAAAAATAATATTTAAGATCAGATTTATAATAGTGGGTTAAAGAGGAAAAAACACTTATTATGTTCATGCTGATATCAGTGAGGAAGCAGAGAGAGGAATGAATGTGGGGGAGAGAAA